TAGGAAAACTTCATGTTATTCATTTTATAAATCTATATTTATATAGTTTCTATATCTCACAAATTTAAAAAATATATTTAATACATTTATAATTTAACATTTTATTTCTATATTACGTTTATCTTACACTACATATTTTATATTTATATTATTATTTACATCACTTTGTTCTTACAACCATCCTATGAAAAATTTTACACCTCTCTCCAAGTGAGAATTTGTATTGATATGAATGGTGATTAGTTGTTCAACTTCTAACCATCAGTAAATATTCAACTTTACTAATATGTAATTCACAATATTTATTGTTCCTATACAATAATCATTTTATATCAACCACATCCTCTTATTATAAAGTTATACATTGGAAAATATCCTTGAAGTCTGTCTTGTGCTAATCATTCCATGATGAATGCACATGAAATTTTCATCTTCTGTAGGAAATATTTTCCATCTTGGATTTCAAAACTAGACTGTAAAATGCATGACTATTTATAGAAAACCCTATAACCCACAATGTCAGTGACATTATGGCCCCTGTAAACCACTAGCTCATTTTTATAAATCACAGGTGGATTCACTGAACCAAAAGAGGATGAATCAATTCTTCTACTTCCATTTCTCACCGAGACCAAAGTAGATTCTAAAAGAACCACTTATTAGGTAAAGTGGAGGTGACGGAGCCATGGTGCAGAAGTAAGGACATCGATGTTTGAGTCCTGACTCTTTCACCTTATATATGTGGACTGCATGGAAATCTCTGAATCTCTCTGTGCTTGTGTTCCTTCTTGGAAATGGTGAGTCTAACAGCCGTCTTTTGAATGTGTGTGGCACCTAAGGGAAGTTTGGACCTTAAGCAATATTACGTCATTTTTTAAATAAAAAATTTCAATCACTATTAGAATAGTGTATTTAGTAACGAAATACAATCCCAAAAAATTGATGACATTGTATAGATTATATGGCAGAAAGGCTGAAGGCTTTCCTATCTGAAGGCACTAGAGCATGGCATGACACAAAATCCTACAATGCGTCTCAGCTTATGAAATGAGATTGACTGACCCTCTCTTTTCTGCCTCATATTTTCATATTTACAAAACCCCTATGCAATGGATTTTCAATAATTGAATACTATAGATGATGTTAAATGGGAAATAATAGGTCCCTTAAAAAGTCCATGGCATAGACAGAAATAAGCACTATTTTATCTTGTCTCTAATCCTATGGGTCACCCTGAAAAGGATGATACGAATGGTCAAATGTTTAAAGGCCATACTGCCCACTTTGTTTCTATAAACAATGGAGGGATCTACTGAAAATTTAACTAAGATTTTTTGTTTTTGATGCTTCCTCTGTGCCAACAAGTTAAGAACTTGGGGGGAGGGTAAACCAGAAATAAATGAGATTCAGTCATTTCTTTCCATATGCCAAGGATGTACTTGCATAAACAAAATTAAAATGTCTGTCAGGGATGTAGGAAAATCATTATTTCAGGTCACCAGATATCTAAGTCAAATGACATGAATTAACCTTATATCATTATTAATAATAAAATATCTAAAATTTAATTTGCCTTTATTTTATGCATCCATCACCTACTTATAGAGGGCATCCATTATTTGTTTAATCCTTATTCAGTGAAGCTGTATCAACTAGGAATCAACTCAGGTGACAATCCCAAATCTCAGAGCTACTAAGAGCAACACACAACACACTTAAAATAAGTATAGCAGAGAGGATTCAAAACTAGTCAGTCTCTGAGTCTTGTGCACTAAACTTTATTGTATCAAAACTTTCTGAAAGTTTTAAGTAGAGGTATAGAGGTTTTAACCACAGGTACATACAGGTACGTTTTTAAACTGTTTCCAGTATCCTTAGTAGGAATGGACCCCAAGACTCTGACTTTGTCTCCTTTTGAAATTGAGTAGATTATAAGATTGGAGGAAGAAGTTGGCAGTTGAAGTGAAATCCAGGAGCAAGAGCAAGAGAGAGATCTGCACTAAATTATTGTGTGCCAGTTCTTTCTATGACCTTTGTCTGTGATCTCAGCCACATTTCCTATAGTTGATGCAGCAAATGCTACCCACTGGCCAGATGCCCAGTGTCTGGAATCAGACTGTCCAGATTCGAACCTGGCTCAACTCTTTCTAACTCAAGACCTGGTACAAGTTACAAAAAATGCTATGCTCCTTTCTTTTTGTGTAAAATAATAATAATGTGTGTACTTATAATTTGGGAGAGATTCTGTAGATAAAATCAAACAAAAATACATAAAATGCATGCCTCAGAGCCTGGCACTTAGGAAGTCTTCCATAAAAGTACATGTTGTTATGGTTAATGTCATCCTTGTCATCACTACCTTCATAATCATTTCGGAGTACTTAGGGGAAAGGTTAGAGAGACCCATTTTCTGCTTTGGTGGGAGAGATGCCAACCAGAGCCAGAACCAATGAGAGTGGAAGCAAAACTGTGAATGAGAGTGCTCACAACAGAACCAGAACCAAGAACACAAACTCCATAGGGCTCTGACCTGAAATTTTGTATAGTGGTACCCTTTATTTCTCTATCTCAACTGTCATGTCGGTCTTTTTGAGAAGAAATAATGCTCTCAACAGTCCCTCCTCCAATCACCATCTCCCACAGCACTTACTGGGCTGGGCTGCATCTCTGCTGGAGCATGACCAAGGAGTACTGATCTGCTGTTCCTCTCCTGCCTTGTGTGGATGAAGGCTCAGGGTTCCTCCTGAAGACTGGCAGGAAGAGAGACTCAGGCTGAGGCCTTCTGATGCAGATGTCCATGAAGTGAGGAGACTCGTATATGAAGCCACTATAGCAGAACTAGCAAACTAAAGGGCTGGAAGCACCAGCCAATTACTTACAATGGCATGACCTTGGGGCTCAATGCACAAATCTTACAATTAGCCAGTTGGTCCACATTGTTCTAATCTCTGGGGACTTGCTAATATTAATGAAAGAGAACAAGGAAAAAGTGAATGTCCTTGGAGAATCTTGGTCCTTTCTCTCCTGAGAAAAAAGTTCACCTCGTCTTACTTCTTACTTCCAAGTTGCAGGATCTTAACAGAAATTCAGACTTTTTCAATTTAACCCCTCAATGTGTGATTCTGACATCTGTAAGTCCATTGTATTAATCATGAAGTCTATGCGGAATTTGTTCTTCTTTTCTATTTTATTAAATTTATTGGGGTGACATTGTTTAATAAAATTACATAGGTTTCAAGTTTATAATTCAATAACACATCATATATATATTGCATTTTCTGTTCACTACCCAAAGTTAAATTTCTTTTTGTCAGAAAATATTTGACTCCCTTTATCCTTATCTACCTCCCCTCCCTTTCCCTCTGGTAACCACTAAACTGCTGTCCATGTCCATGAGTTTTTTGCTGTTGTTGTTTCTCTTGTTCATTTGTTGTTTTCCATTTTATATCCCACAGGAGTGAAATCATATGGGTCTCAACTTTTTCTGAATTATTTTGCTTATCAGTATAATCTCAAGATCCATCCACATTGTTGTAGATGGCATTGTTTCATCTTTTCTTATGGCTGAGTAATATTCCATTGTATATATGTATCATATCTTTATCCAATCATCTATCAAAGGACACTTCAGTTATTTCCACATCTTGGCCACCATGAATAATGCTGCAATGAACATCAAGTTGCATATATCTTTATAGATAAATGTTTTCAAATTTTGGGGGTAGATACCCAGAAAAGAAGTGGCTGGGCCATATGGTAATTCTATTCTTAGATTTTTGAGAAACTACCATACCATTTCCATAGTGACTGTACCAATTTACATTCCCACCACAGTGTAGGAAGGTTCCTTTTTCCCACAACTTCTCCAACACTTGTTATTACTGGTCCTGTGATACCATTTCCACTTTACTAATTAATACTTGTCTCTAACGATAACTTCTGATTTTCATTTCCTTAGATCTTATTTCGGTTAGCATTTTATATCTTGGAGATTTACAAGTGTTTTTTTCTTTTTTTTTTCTCTTTTTTCTTTTTTGGCTAATTTGAATGAACCTTCAGTTCTAAGTTTTTTTCTCCAATTACATTGCTATATTAAAATACTATTAATTTTTACAGATTTATTTGACAACTCATGCTTAACTACTTTAGGGGGCCTCTCAGAAGGTTGTAATCCAGTTGTTTACCAGGGATGAAGTCTTCTCAGAATTCACAGGTTTGCAGGCAATTGGCTAGTGAATTCACTCAGTTCCTTGATAGCTGGGCCTCTTGATGGGGCAGCTTACCACATGGCAGTCAGGTTATATCTACTTGGAGAGATAGAGAGGGGCAGCAAGAAGAAAGCCAGATTTTTTTCCTCACTCAGTTCCCAGAAGTGACTTCCCATTATTTCTTCCACATTTTTGTTGTTAGAAGCAAGTCCTTATGTCTAGCTCATACTCAATGGGAAGGAAACACACAACATGAAAATCAGGGGTTGGTGATCATTGGGAGTATCTCAGATACTGCCTAATGCAGAGGCCTCATCCTCTATAAGGGTTTTATGCTCAGGCTCTTCAAAACTCAGATCTAGAGAGTTTGGAGAAACGTGGCGGAGCGAGAGACATCCCCAGATCTCTCCTCTTGAAACAATAAGCTGAACATCTAAAACTCAACAAAAAACACCCAAACTGCATACCAGCTCATCTGAGCGTGGGATCTGTGCATAAGATCTACCACATGTCAGAATCCCCTGGTGTGGGGCAATGGACTGGGAGAAATAAAGAAGCTGCTTCTTTCAGCTGGAGCTCCCTAAATGCGTCGAGTTCCCTAAATGGCCTTGCCTAGGAGTGCTGTGAGCTTCACACCGCTAGCGGCTGGGCCCAGTCATCAGGGCAGAAAGCAGAGAAGCAGAACAGCAGAGAAACAAGTGTTGATTTTTACCAGCCCCAATTGCAAAACTGAGGCTGAGCTGCAACCCCAGCCCTCAACCCAGAGGGATCCTCCCCCACATCCTCCAAGACCAAAATCCGTAGAGCCCAGGGGAATCTGAGCAAACACTACCAAAACTATTCATAACACTGACAGAGACTGAGACTGAGAGTAGTGAACGCGATTAAACATCTAGAAGAAAACAAGAAGGCATTATGAAGGCTTTATATAAAGCAGGGATACAAGAGGCTTAGAAGCAACCTACTGGAAAAAGAAAAGCGCTTTCTTTGTAAAAGGCTAAAGAGAGACCTACCTTTATTAAATCTTCTTTCTGGAAAAAAAAAAAAAAAAGCAGAACATACGTCCATTAATGACCAGGCAGAGTCTTCTTTCTGGAAGAAAAGCAGAATATATTTCCATTAATGCCCAGGCAGAGAAACAGTCCATTAAACACCATGAATAACTGAGGTGACAAAACATCTCAGAAAGAAAGAGAAAAATCTCCAAAAAATAAATTACAGACATAGAAATATGCAATTTAAATGACAGAGAATTCAGGATGGTACTTCTGAAAAAACTCAGTGAATTCTAAACGAGTCATATCAACAATTTCAGGAATTGAAAAAACAACTAGGTGATCAGAGCAAGGAGATCGAAACCCTCAAAAAGAACCAAATAGAATTTCTGGAGATAAAGAACACACTGCAAGAGTTGAAAAAATGAAATAGCAAGCTTGGGAAATAGAGTCGACCAACTGGGAGAAAGGATCCGTGATATCGAAGACAGCAATCTAAAAATGCATCAGAAGGAAAAGAAAGAAACCAAAGAATGAAAAATAATGAAAGAGAAATACAAGAACTAGCTGATATCGTCAGGAGAGGAAACATAAGAATAATGGGCATTATAAAAGGTGAGGAAAAGGACCAGGAACTAGAAAGCATTTTCAGACAAATAGTTGATGAGAATATCCCAAATCTAAGGAATGAGCTGGAGCTTGGAATTCAAGAAGTCAAAAGAACACCCAATTCTCTCAATCCAAAAAGGACTTCACCAAGACACATTGTATTAAAGTTATCGAAAATCAACGACAAAAGCAGAATTCTCAGGGCAGCCAGGGAGAAGAAAACAGTAACTTATAAAGGAAAACCCATTAGATTATCCTCAGACTTCTCAACGCAGTCCATACAAGCCAGGAAGAAATGAAATCAAATATTTAAATTATTAAGTGAAAGGAACTACCAGCCTAGAATAATGTATCCAGCTAAGCTCTCTTTTAGATATAAAGGAAAAATTAAGACTTTTCTTAATTTCAGATATACACAAACTTAAGGAATTCTTCACTATGAGGCCTGCACTACAGAAAATACTGAAAGAGGTCAGCTTACCCAGAACAAAATGACAAAAACATAATAATAGTAATTAGGAGTAAGGTAACTATCAGGCAAATAGAAGCAGGGCATTATAAGCTTAAATAATGAAAGAATTGCTATAGCAAGATAGTAATAAAAGTTCTGCATACATAGGAACAAACTGAGATAACAATGACTAAAAAGGGAGAATTTAAAGATTCGAATTCACAAATGGAAACGGAGACAAGGCACACAAAGAAGAAAATGCATGACTGTATATATATAACTATCCTTTTCATATTCATAATGGTAACCACACACCAAAGATTCAGAACAGAAGTATATAACATGAAACAAGAAGGACCAGAGGCAAAACCCACAAAAGCCAACCAAAATAAAGAAAACAGAAACACAAGGATAAGGAAACAATGGAAACACCAAGCTATCAGAAAGCAAAAGAAAAAATGGTTACAAAAAGACCTCATATTTTAATAATCATCCTAAATGTAAATTAATTGAACTCACCAATAAAAAGGCACAGAGTTGCAGATTGGATCAAAAAACAAATCCCAACCATATGCTGTCTCCCGGAGACACATCTCAGCTCCAAAGACAAATATAGACTCAAAGTGAAAGGGTGGGAAACTATATTTCAAGCAAATGGCATTCACAGAAAAGCGGGAGTAGCAGAACTAAGATCAGATGAAATAGACTTCAAAATAAAAAAGGTAAAGAAAGTTACTGAGGAACACTTCGTAATGCGCCAAGAAGACATAACACTTATTAACGTCTATGCTCCCAATCAGGGAGCCCCAAAACATGTAAAGCAATTACTAACAGAACTAAAGGGAGAAACAGACCAAAACACTATTGTACTACAAGACCTAAATACTCCATTGTCAGATATGGACAGATCATTCAAACAGAAAATCAATAAGGAAATAACATCTTAAATGACACATTAGACAACTAGACATAATTAACATATACAGAGCCTTCCATCCCAAAACAGCTGTTTAAACATTCTTCTCTAGTGCACATGGAACATTC